GGCTGCCTCCAGGATAAAATGGAAATGGATTTTGGCGAAAAACCAACAATTTCTGTCACGTTCTGTTTTCCCATGGCATTGAAACATCCATTCATTAATTCAAGAAATGTTTACAGAGTGACTTCCTTTTATTGCTTATAATCTAGTTGGGGAGAGACATAGTAATTACACAGTCACAACAAGATGCAATTATAACCTGAGACGACTGCCTGAAGGAAAAGCACAGAGTCCTGTGAGGGTGTGGCTGGTGCCTGACTCAGAGCAGGACCAGGCGAGGGTTCTCCAAGGAAAGGACACAGCAGCTGTCATCTGAGCAATGAGCGCACCTTGAGGATCAGACCCTGTCATGTGTCTTCAAACAGCTGGCTCTTTCTTTCTTCTTTTGGTAGAATTTATCTGTGGTTTGCAATAAAGGAGGACTGACCTGGACAACTTAAAGAGATGGGCACATATTTATACCTCCTGTTGCATGGACCCCACGACCCCACAAGAGGGTTTGATAACAAGTACCAGTATACGCATAGCTGGTGCCTCATACTTCAACCACCAGCACCCAGCACCTGAGTTTCAGGTTCTTCTGGAGGCAGAGTTGGAAAGATCTGGAAGGAAGGAAGGAAGGAAGGAAGGAAGGAAGGAAGGAAGGAAGGAAGGAAGGGAGGAAGGGAGGAAGGATCGAAAACTGTCATAAGCAGTAGGACCACATTTTATGGAAAATTGGAGTCATTTGGAACACAAAATATCTCTAGTCTTCCTCCCCATGCCTCCTCTCTCAATTTCCATTTCTGCTCCATATCTTGCTAATATTTGATAGTCTCCCCTCTCTGAAACAAAACCTAATTTCAAATTCCTGGCTTCAACAAAATTGCTATGTTTCAGAAAATCTGCAAATGATGTACCATGCATGCCTTGTCAAAAAAAGCTTTTTAAAACGTGTTTAAAATCAAGCCAGGCAAGCAGAGTACGGTGACTGTAACTGGAAGGCCTTCCCTGGAATGCCGTGCGCGGTGAAGAGAAGCTCAGGTGGGCACAGGTGAAGCAGACGAGGGGCCTTGGAGCAGTGACTCCATCCTGCCTGTCCCCAGGCCCCATTCTGCTCACAGGAAACAAAGAGGCCTCGTGGGAACATCCCCAGGACAAACCGCTTCATGCACAGCTGGGGGGCACTAGGAGCTGGGATACAGTGTGAGCTATAAAGGAAATAATTTCAATTGTAGACTCTCCAGTCCTGTAATTAGAAAGGAAAAAGCACAGCAATGTCCCGGCCCCAAGAACTCAAGCTGACGGGAGTGATTGCTGGTCCCAGAGCCAGTGCAAGCACCAGGGCCCGGTGCCGACACAGCCAACAGCACGGCTCGACCTTCTCGCGTTCCACAGCGTCCAAAACCCTGCGCAGGGACCACGCTTCACCCGCAGGAAAGGGGCTCCTTGTCACCTCCCCCTTGTCCAGAGGGCAGGATGGAGGCCACTGCTCAGCTGAGCTCTTAGCCACTGCACTGTGCTCATCAAATACACTGCACTGTGTATTACCAAATAACATGAGAAAAAAAGAAACAGTCATCTTATGAAATAAAATATATTACAAGGTCGCAAATATCATAACAATATAGCAGTACTACCAGAATTGATCTGCAAGACAACAGAGAAAATCCAGAAATATTCTTGGTCCTATGGAATGAATATATCACAACTTCCCATTAAATGAAGCAAGCTCCTCCAAACAATAGGAGAGGCTCATGCTGATCTGACGGGTAGGCGGGACCTTTATAGATATTAGCAACGTTTGGGTAGAGGACAAATAGACACAAAACTTAAATGTTGTCTCAGAATCAACAGGCTATTTACTCAAACTCATTTCATAGCTGAACGATACTGTGTGAATCATGTCTTTTATAGGTCGGCAGGGATGGGCATACCGAGGTTAAGAGGCTGAATCCGGCTTACCAGAGTGTCGGCCTAGATTCTAGAATGTTCAGTGCGTACGCGTATCGCCTGTGAGGGCTGCCTGAACACAGAACCACAGACTGGGGCCTAGACAACAGGAAGGTCTTGTCTCCAGGTTCCCAGGTCAAGGGGTCGGCAGGGCTGTCTCCTCCCGAGCTCCGAGGAGTGTCTGCACCGGCCTGGTCCTTGGCATGAAGACGGCCCACATCGGCTCCCTGTGTGTCTGCTCACATTTCTCTTTTATCAGGACGCCAGTCATATTGGTTGGGTCCTCCCTAATGACCTTATTTTAGCTTAATTACTTCTGTGACGATTTATCTCAAACAAGGTCACATTCTGAGGTACTGAGGGCTGGGAGTCCACGTATCTTTGCTTTGGAGAGACACGGTCAGCCCACAGCCCTGAATGCTGAGTTTCTCTATCATCATGCACAGTAGCCAGACCCTTCAGAGTGTCCTGCTGGCCTCACGGACGTTTCCTCCAGCCGGTTCCAGTCCGCTGACCAGGGTGTCTCATTTGCTGAGAATTAGTGGAGGTGCATTTGAAGCCCAAGCACACTGCTCTTTGAATGGCGTTAAGACACTCACCTGACCTGGCCGGGTGGCTCAGTTGGTTGGGATTGTCCTGTACACCACAAGGTTGCCGGTTCAATTCCAGGTCAGGGCACATGCCCAGTTGCAGGCTTGATCCCCAGTGTGGCGCGTGCAGGAGGCAGCCAATCAGTGATTCTCTCTCATCATTGATGTTTCTGTCCCTTCTCTTTCTTGTTCTCTGAAACCAATAAAAATATATTTGCACAAAGGCAAACCTATCAAGATGATCAAAACACTGCTCTTGGGCCTTTTCCAATATTTCTGCAGTTGTTTCAAAACTTCCAGCTGTCAAACCTACAGCACACTCCTCCCCAGCATGGGAGCCACAAGGGGCCACACATTTTAATTGCAAGGCGGAAGGGGTGGGCTGGGGAAGCAGAGGCTGGGCGTGGTGAGAATCGGTGGAATGTGGAGGAGGAAAATCTGTCTGCCATCCCAGTCACACCCCCAACCCAACAGCACAGCCCTCACACTATTCGGCGGGTCATCAATGGGGCCTTGCAGAGGTTCCGTGCAAACGCATTGCTGGATCATCGCTTTTAGAGAAAACCCCTTGGAAATGGCTGATCTCACGAAGATGCACAAAGTGGGTTCCTCCCCACTCAGGTGAGACCCTCACTAACTGATGTGGGCTCCTAAGGCTCATCTGTCACCATCACGTCCAATCAGGAAGCACAGAGGGATCCTCCAAATCGCTCAGAATGTCTTCCCCTTCCCTCACATCTGACATCTTTCCTCTCTTCTGCTCAGTAGCGGCTATAAGCCCTCAGCCTCCTCGTGCATGTGGGAGGTCAGGGTCAATGCCTGCTGTGGGCCTCCCCAAAGGCTGAGTGAGGTTGTGTGGCGTTTGTGGATGGAGTGGATCCCACGCATGCACAAGCGCATGCACACACGTGCACACACAGGCATTCTGAGTCTCCAGTGGAAAGGCCCTTAGATTTGTGGTCTTGGTGGCCTTTGCATCACTCTTACTTGCTAGGATAATATAAGGAGGTAATTAGTATGTCTTAGAAGAGCTCTATATATTAGGGCAACCTGACAATTTTAGAAAATGACAAAATGATTCCTGCCCCCAGCATAAGTTGAAGACATGATGACGCCTGGCAAGGACCTGGTGTGCTTGAGCGACTTACTATTCTGCACTATCTGACACAAGCCATCAGGCAGTGGTGTCCACACAAAATTCTTCCTACCGTCTTAATTTTGGCCACTCACCCTTCTTGATCTGTTTACTCTGCTGCGAGAATATAAAATGTTACAATACACTACAGACAAGGTTAGAAGAATATGCATTTACTGTGAAACAGAGTTACCTGCCCAAGACAAAACTATGAAGCAAAGGATTTGAAGTAGAGGCCTCCTTTCCAAATAAGGTCTATTTCTGCACTTTTGGTTGCTTTGTCTTCCCCTCAGGAACCAAAGATTCCTTGCTCTTTCCCATCCAGATAGAACTCAAATCCTGTCTAATCCTGCCCATAGTCAAAGTTCCCTTCTCTGAATTCCTATAACTCAATGGGCTCCTATTCTGCCAACTTGTCCTGCTATTTCTCATCATAGACTCATTTCCTTGCTCCCAAACTAAATTATGAATTCCTGGAGGGCATGGCACTATTTTCTATGTCCTTGCTTCTTTACCCCCATCACACAGATATTTTGCCAAAATCAAGAGACCTGATAGTGAGCTTGTGGCAGAGATACGTGGCTTTTCATCAAAATGTGCTTTCTTCCCTCAGACCCACCGGGAAGCTGCACTCCCATCCCCGCTGCAGGGAGCCAGGGCTGGGATGGACGGGCAGCTCCCAGGCTGGTTCCGTTTGACTTCTGGGGTTTCCTTCCATGCCCCTTCCTCCTTCCTCTGGTGAGAAGGGTCCTTAGCGATTGGTGAAAACCAAAATGGAAGGAGCTTAGGTCCTGACATGCTCTTGATGAGGAAGCTGCCCAGGGACCAGGAGCGTCACTTGGAGCAGCCGCGTCGCGTACTTGTGGGTCTACTTGTTACAGCAGCTAGTCCTCCATTGCCTTTGGTAACTCCAGCAGAGAGCGCTGGAGCTGGGTTTAACCAGTTAACTGCCACAATATTTTGAATTTAACTTAAAAAGGCCCTCCACTTGCGTCTATAGATGCATATGGCGTGCAAATGGTTAGTACTTCGCTCTGCACAATGACTACGCTATGTGATTTCAGGCCAGTTACTTAACTTCTGAGCCTCAACTTTCTCATCTGTAAAATGTAGGTGGTTACAGCAACTACCTTAGTCAGTGTGTTGTGAGAACTAAGTGATTCAAGCATCATTAACACAGCGCCTGGCATCTGCCAGCACTCAGTGAGCATCAGCTCAGAACTGCTTGGGTGGGTGCTTAGGATTTGTTCTTGACGAGCAAAAGCTGTATTCCAACAAAGTCCAGAAAAACGGCGTTGAGATCATTTATTTTTATGTCTAACTACAACAATTGTAGCAGAAACCCCTTGAAGATGAGAAATATGCGTGTGGGTGGGTAGCGGTCAGCAGGAGATGGAGAGGGGGAGACAGGCTGCAGGGCACTGAAGAATGGCATTTGACAGAGTCCCTTGAACTCTTAGCACTTTGCCCCTGGCAGGATCTCGGATCTGGTTGGAGCAGCAGGACTCCCACTGGGTCAGGCTGTATGTAAACAGATGATTAAGGACAGGCAATTAGGCTGCTATTTAGGTCAAAGGTCCTCTCCTTCCCAGGCGGGGCTGGTCAGGCTGAGGAGTTAGTCTGACCTCCCCTTGGGCACCCATGACTGAAGGACAAATTGGTCACTAATCACTGGCTGCAAACAGAGTGGGACTGGGTAAAGCTGACATCTGCTTGGTTTGGTAAAGTCAGATTTAGGTGAAGGAATAAAACAGTCATTTACGCTACTGCGGGCCCGTGCCCTCCTCAGAGTTCTCCACACACAGCCAGTTCTCACGCAGCTACAATAAGCAAGACTAATACAGCAAAACTGATCAGGCATACATTTTGCCATCTCCTTTCGGGCAATTTTAGGTTTCTTGCGTTAATATATTTATTCTTATTTAGATACCATTCTGTCTTTATGTTCAAAGTTTGAACTTATAAGTTATTATCATCTCCTTAATCTATTCACTTTCAGAAGATTTATCATTTTTTTAAGATGGGGGTTGAGGGAATGGAAATCTGCAGTAATTTTACCTAAGATGAAGGTTATGTATCTAAATAAAATTTAAACTAATTGAAAGTCATGATATCCTCTGCTACAGTTTTCTGTCAAGAAGCTCACAGAGATTTGGCATTGTGGGGTTTGTTTTTTATGTGAGAAAAAAAAAAACATCGATTTTTTTTAAAGGTCAACCTTTTAAGTTTATCACCCAAATCTGGAAGCCAGGCAGGAGTAGATATTTAAAGCTGACCAAATAAATTTGGGTGTTTATAGCAGCATTGCTTGTACTTACAAAAGCAAATAAAACCAAAACATATAAACAACAAAATGCAAACAAAAATCCACACCTAAAGTCCATGAATATGAAAATGGTTGGATAAGTGACACATACACAAATAGTATAATTCTATATTTGTGAAAAAAATAGAGCCAAGTGTGGAGAAAGAAACACAGACCCTCACGCTGACTGCCCTGGGCATGGGTCACTGGGGCTGTGAGTGCAGTGGGACAGCTTTTCTGTGGGTCCCTGGATTGTTTGACAGGAATAATAGGAAGGTATTACTGTTGCAATTTTAAATAATTTATAAGTTTTAGTAAATCTTTAAATAAATATGGAAGGCATTCTTGAGATATGGGAGGATAGGAGTATCCACAAAAGCAGGTAATTGCACACTTCCAGGATTTTACAAAGCTTTTGTACTATAACTTGTGTCTTACATCTCTGAATCTACAAATAAACCCTGTGTAACTGACATCCTATCAGATATATGCAACACTATAGTGTCACGAAAGCAATACAGACGTTCATTTGAAAAGAAATGTGAAACAGTAAGTTTGAAAATAAAGAAAGAAGGAAAGAAAGGAAAAGAGAAAGGAAGAAAGAGAGGAAGGCAAAGGCAAGGTGGAAGGGAGGGAGGGAAAGACGGATGTGATGGAGGAGGATACTAGTAGCTTGACTGCCATTTTCCCTGCTGGGACCTTCCCACATCAGGGTCCAAAGTAGAGGAGAAGTGGGTGAGGTGGTGCCCATTTCCCAGCATCCACAGAGGCAGAGTGTGGAGGAGGGTGATGATGGGAGAGGAAATGGAGGATGGAACTAGAATGGCCTTGGCCCTGCACTTGGGCTGTTCCTTCTTCCACCTCCATCAGACGTGGCCACACCATCAGCTACATGGAAAGGTCCACCAGGGCCCAGGCGCCCCCTGAGCTTGTGCAGTGACTACAGATGTCTCACTGATGACAATCCTCATTGCTCCAAATTATGAGCAACAAGCAATTGGAACTGGGCACTGAAACCCGATTCCCGCCCACCCTGCAGTGAGAGGCAGCTTCCAGGGACCAAGGATGGCGAGGGATGGCGAGGACCGGAGGGAGCACGCAGGGAGCACGAGAGGAGGGAGGCCGGCCTGCTCTTCCACACGGTCTGAGATGCAGACAAGAACAGAAAGTATGAGTGGTTTAAATTGGGGGCTGGTCTTCAGGAAGCCAGGCACTTCAGAAAGAAAACGACATGGCTAAAGTCAGAGAGTACAAGTTCACTCCTGGACTTCAGGTTGTCTGAGGGGGAAGCGCATCTTAAGAGCAGTCCAGGGGGACACAGGACGGGAGAATGCGGGTGAACTTCCACCTCAGCAGAGGAGAGGTGCTGTGTGAGCTGAGGACAGGAGGGCTTTCAGAACCGGCTGGCAAGAGACCATGCCCCATGGACTTTTAGATTTCCTCTCCAAATCCTATGTATTTGTCTGGGGCCAAATCCAACCTTTTGTTTTCAACAATGCTCTATTCTAACATGCTTCTGAGGAGCACCCTGCCTCCTGGCTGGCCCTGAAACCTCACAGGAATGATTCCAAACGCCTTCCCAGAGCCACAGAGCCAGGACCTGGCCCATCAATATTCTGGCTTCTCTGACTACAAGCATCCGGCCAGCCTGCAGCGATGACCAGCTCCTCCTCCAGGCTCTCCACAGTGACGCCCTCGAGGGCGAGGGAAGGAGGCGCCATCTTGACTCCCGAATCACAACCCGGTGCCTATCTCTCACCTGTCCTGCAGGTTTGCATCTGGATGGGTCATTCTTACAGATGATAAAATACCCAGTGAAGACGGGGACCTAATAAAACATGATGATATCAAAATATGACCATTTTTCCTGTGGAAACTAAGATTCTATATCTAAATTCTAATGGATTGGAGAATAAACGTTCATCCGAGAGGTGACTCTGAAGCAGGAGAAAGTGTAGGCAAATAGGAAACGGAGATGCAAAACCAAAATGAATAGGTGTGACGCTCAGTCACTTGTTATAAGTCAGGGATGGGGAACCTTTTTTCTGCCAAGGGCCATTTGGATATTTATAACATCATTGCAGGCCATACAAAATTATCAATTTAAAAATTAGCCTGCTATAGTTGGTCAAACATTTAATCAACTCACCCCTAATGCCTTGGCAGGGCCAGACCAAATGGTTTTGCAGGCATTATATGGCCCAGGGTAGAACATTCCCCACCCCTGCTATAAGTACATCCTCCACTTTACCCTTCTTCCACCATGTCCCACCTAAAGTTCTTATTAATTTTTCTTAATATCAAAAAGCTATTTTTAATTAATGTCCTTAATTTTACCAAGCAGGAAGGCAAAGAAATTTAAAGAACTGCTTTAAATTAAATTACTTTAAATAAAAACATAAAATACATGAATATGAAAATATTTTTAAAATATTTAACAATGTGTAAAACACAGATTATAAATAGTTTTAGCACAATTAGAAGAACTCTGAGAATTCGCTTACTTTTTCTGCAAATGCAGGTGACCTGTCTAACGTCTCTTAGTCAGTGGAGTAGATATGAAGAAAAGCCTAACCTCCAAATTTTCAAATTAATATTTCTTCTACTTTGGTGTGTGGTCTTTGGGGAAGTTCTTAAACCTTTTCCTGTCTCAGTTTCCTCAAGTGAGCATCATGATGAAATCTAACTCATAGGCTCATTGTGAAAATGAAGTAAATTAATATATTCAAAGTACACAAAAAAACACCTGGTATGTGGTAAGCACCCTGTACTAGTAACCATCAGCTATTATTATTTACTACCTTGCCTTTCAATTAATATACAGAGTAGAACAGCTTAAGTTAATATTTTGAGTATTTAGCTACTGGAAATATAGTGTAAGGAAGCAGTAAATCTTGGATAGGAATCAGAATGGTTTTCTTGTTTCCTTTCTTTCCTGCTCCCAAAAGTTATTTTGCAGACTACTTCTGTCTTCAAGCCCACATGACTTCTTAGATAATCAAAGTTGTTGTTGGTAATGAAGTAAACAAAGACACACGGGAGAGGGACTTGCTTTCTGTCTCCGTCCCCAATTAGGCCCTGAGCCCAGTCCTGCCGGTCCTGCCATGTTGACGGTCACAGCACACTAATCAGGAAGAGACTGGGTAGCACATTTAACTGGGAAAATACATGCCCATCACTCCTGTGTCTCTTCCGATTTCTGCCCACCAGCCCGCCCACCAGAACTAACTGCTCCTGAGCAACCGTCCCTGTCGCTTGCTGGAACTGCATTTGTCGCTAGTTCCATGCAGCTTGTGCCCTGTTCTCCCTACGCTGGGGGCAACCTGGAAAGCAGGTCTGTCTCACACTCCTGCTTCCAGAAGCCAGACCACCTCACAGTGACGGGTGCACACTCAGTGTCTACTGAACCGAACTCACAGAACTCACCCAGAACTAAAGGAAAACACAGCTTCTTTTAGAGATACTATTATTTATGGAGCCTGCACCATGGACTCGGAACGAACATGTAAAATGCTGTCATGATCGTCATTTTGTAGGTGAGAAACACTGAGGCTCAGAGAGGTTCCACTGTCCGGGGCAGAAACCAATTCTCTCTGGTGCTGCTCCTTGGTGAGAACTGAACATTCCTTATTCTTATTACTAATCCCCTCTAATCCCTCCTGAAACCGGTTCAGATTTCAGGAAGGCATCCTCGGAGGACCTGATGTGACCCTAGTGTCTCCCGTGAACACTGACATCCAGATGCCAGGTGCCGCCCCCTGGACCGTGGTGAGACCCGACCCACGCACCTTGGCGAGCTCTCATGCACAGACCCTGGGACAGGTCTGGCTTGTTGCTGCTGCTGCCTGCTCCTCCGTGGGCTCGGAAATGCTGTGCAGGCTGTCACAACACGGCCGTCCGGTAGAACCTGTCTACATGTTCTCATGGGACTGGCCTCCAACTCCTTCCCTCCACTGCCAATGAGCCAACTCCACTGGCCTTTGTGAGTTTCAGGCACCACATCTGAGACAAGCCTGTTAAATTCCACTGTGACCTTTCAAAGGCTGAAACTTGAAGTGTACTGAGTCCTTTAAATATATTGCTTCCACCGGATTTTTCAATCATACCATTTTTTAGTAATTATTCTTTTCCAATTTCTTAGACATCTTATAACCTTTTGCTTGAATATCCTTTGCAAACTCTCTGCAGTACCTGGCTTATGCAGTTTTCTGACACTCAGAAGAATGGTGCCCACTGGAGTTACACGTGAGCCAGCAAAGCCAAAGAACTCACAGCATATTAATAAACCACCAAGGAGAGAGCATAGTCATGGACTGAATGTTCTAAAAACAACTTAGTCCCCTAATCTGATGCTACTAATCAGGACATCCAACAGCAACTTTATTCTTTCTCTCAGTGCTATGGTTACCCATGCAAAACAAATGAATGTTGAGGAATGCTGAAGTTAAAAAGAGCCTTTTTAACAAGCAAAGCCTAAAGCACTTTCTATTTTCAGTTCAGTCCATGTGAAATTAAGACCATCATGCCAAGAGAGCCATAGAAGCTCTGCGGGGACATGGAAGGTGACAGCCTTTACACCTGGCCGAGGACCCAGTCCAGCATCCCCAAACCAGAGGCAGGCCCTGAGCCAAGTGCCTCAGCACCCAGACACCCTACTCAAGAGCCCGTCCGAGGTGCCAGGAATCCCACTCACAGCGAGCAGCCCCCATTCCCACTCCCGTTCTCAGGGGGCTTGCTCAGCTCCCTTTCCGGGAGAGTACGTCCTCACGGCAATGAAGCCGTGTTCTGTGACTGAGCCAAACCCATCTGGTGTTGGTCATTGCTCATCTAACATAACTCTCTAAAGATAAACCAGGAAGCTCTTTCTTCCCCAGGTTCCTACAGACTTAAACATCACGGTTCACTAAGTCCTGGAAATGTGAGAATGGGGCTGCACGGCCAAACAGCTCAGGACAAGGAAGGCAAGTCAGGCCTTTGGTTCTAGTCACCCTCCTTCCCCCGTTTCTCAGTGAGATCGCTCCAGGGATAACTGTCTTCGTCAGTAAAGATGGAAGGTGTGTGCGGACATGCAGTTGGTTGTAGCACAAACAAGATGGTGCCAAGAAAGCATCCACCAGGCCCGTCGCCCATCCACAGACAGGAGGCCCAGCCTGCGGGGTCGTGCAGACACGGCGCAGCTGCTATGGCTCGGTAAGGACTTTCAGTGCCTAAGATTTCAAAGGACCATCCACGGGACTGCCTGGAGCTGGGCCACGTGTGTGTGCGCATGTTTGTGTGACTCCATGTAATTCCGAGAGCTACACAAGCTTTTGCTGAGAGAGTTTAAATTGTACCATCACGCGCATGTGGTCCTAGCCCTCCCCCAGCCTCATGGGGCTGCTCTCGGCCGGCACACCCGGCTGAGCCCTCTATGTCTACCGCACCCCAGTCTCCCAGTGTGAGGCCCTCACTTCATTTCATTTTTATGTTTAATTTTTATTTAATTTTTAGATACAAAGATACCATTGCCTTAATTTAATCCTATTCAGATGTGCCTACTTGTCCTCTTTATCCTAAGGTGCCCATCCTCAGCACATCTGGACATATTTCAGCACATTCTTTTTTTTTTTTTTTAAATATATTTTATTGATTTTTTACAGAGAGGAAGGGAGAGAGATAGAGAGTTAGAAACATCGATGAGAGAGAAACATCGATCAGCTGCCTCCTGCACATCTCCTACTGGGGATGTGCCCGCAACCCAGGTACATGCCCTTGACCGGAATCGAACCTGGGACCCCTCAGTCCGCAAGCCGACGCTCTATCCACTGAGCCAAACCGGTTTCGGCATCAGCACATTCTTGATATGTGGGAACACTGAGGTTCCCAGTGCTACTTGTCATGTGACTACTTAAATGGATAATTGGTTTTAAATAGGTGGCCACATTTTTTTTTTCAGCATTGAGTTGGCTCCTCTGAAAACGCCCAGGCAGTAACTGGTGACCATGACAAGGAGCAGAGCCCTGTCTGAGGGGCTCTGTCGCATGAGAAAGGCTCGTTAGACAGACCGTGGGCAGCGCCTCCTTGCCCTCACTGTCCCGGAGCTGACCTGCCCAGCAGGTGCCACCGCCCACTCAGACAGGGAGCTCCCAATAGTTTTCCAGCAGAAACTGTGTCACAATCATCAAGCGAGGTTTAGAGCCAAGTGGCCTGAATGCCATTCTAAGTCTGTAAAACAGGCAGGGACACACCAGGGCTGGCCCTGCCGAACTAGGCAGCCTGCACAGGAGGGAGTGTGCAGAGTCCTCAAGGCAACGAGAAGCAAAGGGACATAACCGGGGGAAGAGGGAAGGTGAGGACCCGAGTGGATTATCCTTCCTCCTGGTCAGTGAGGTCACAGGCTGCCACGTTCTGCACAACGCCCCGCCCCCAGCCACGCCCACACAGTGGCAATTTGCATGCTATTCTTTAGCACAGTTTTAACTGATTGGCTACCTTAGAGTTAGACACGAGGAACCATTTCATAGCCCAGTTTCTTAAAAATAGACACGTGCAACAATGTGAAAGTATTTGGCTTCTAAAAAGCAGGATAAAAACACCCCAGTGTGAGTGGAGGCTTGTTCTGTCCCCTTGTTTACTCTGTCGCTATGACAAACTCTTGCCATTAGCCATTTCAGCGGCTTTAATTCCCTGTACTAATCAGCCAAGTACATTACCAAGTTTCTTAATTTATGGGCCTATTTTGTCAACATATTAGTATTTTTGAAATCAGGTAGTCACTGCATAATTAAGTGAAAAGCAACTTGCCAGCCCCTAGTAGCATAAATTGTGCTTTGTGCAAACTGCGTGAACATGTGCAATGACCTATGTATAAGGTACCTGTCATGTCACTGGGACACTTGCAATAATTGCAGTACCACCTGTGGTTGACTTTCAACCAAAATCATTTGAAATATGAACAATTGCTGAGATCCAGCAGGGAAATGAGAAGCTATCAAGTGCAGAAGGTCGTCATCTGCCAGACCGTTAGGGAACAGGCAGCGGACACCACAGTCACTAAGAGAGAGCCGGGAATTCCCAGCGCATGGCGAGCCTGGCACAACGCGACCCGCTTCGGTGCTGGGGAGAACCATCGCAGGCACTGGTCGATCCCAGCAACTTACCATTGCTGTTCCAGAGCAACAACCAGATTCCAGAAATGTTTAAGTCAGTTACACAATACCAACCAACCAACAAGTGTAACGAAATAGGAAAAGCAGGTAAAAACATGTGTCTTCAAGTACCCACAGTAAAGTCCTAAGGGTGCTGAGAATTTCAGGATTCTGATCACAATTTATAAGTATAGAGTCAGCTTTATAGGTGTTTTAAAATCCACGATACATCTTAAAGTCCCACGGAAAGGAATAGGAGACTGGACCAAGAGAATTCGTTCACAACACCAAGGTCGATGGTTATGAAAACGACAAGATAATAATCTCCTACTTTGACGTTGAAGTTGAGTTGGGAATGAATGGATGAAAATCTATTTGGGGCCATTAATGATCATATATTTCTTCTACCTCATCTCTCAAAATCCATCTCAGCTGAGCTAACTGAACTCCAAAGCTCGTCAGGACTCTCCTGGGTGCGCATGACGCCCCGTGGCGTGGTGAGCAAGAGAGACCCTTGGCTCCACCTCCCGTCGTCACTCTCTCTAACGGATTAGCCAGCAGCTTTAGGCACAGGTTTCATTTCAATAGGACGTGGTTAAGGAGATGCACTCCCGACCACACCTGCAGCCCCTGCTGGGCGGAGGGTGACTGACAGTTTCCCTGTGCTGGGAGCAGTCCGCGTGGGTCTCTGTCCACGGCCCTCCCACTCCAGCATTTTCCCAGACAAAAGCTCCCGGTCGGGTAACAGGTTACATGGCCACCTAATTCATACATGACATGCTAAGGGACAAGAGCATTAAAAATCAATGTCAATCAAATTCCTTACATGTGAAGGCCACCAACTTTCCTGGGGAAACCTTAAGCTACAAATCTTGCACATCACCATTACTTTCAAAGCAAAGAACATCAATACAAGCACATGGGTCCTCCCACACCTGTGGAATATGTGGTGCTGGGCTGTGTCCTTCAGTGTGTGTCAATGGCACTGAACTCTGCAGACGAGGAAATTTCCATGAGTCATCTCCAGAGGCTCCTCCTCAGTAAGTGGCAATGCACAGCCTGGCCAGGGGAGCAGACAGGAATGTGCAGCCCCAGAAGGCGGAGGGGTGCGCTCCAGGCTCACTCATTCCTTTTGGTGACACAGGCTCGTTGAAAAATGGCAGCAATCGGGTGCAAATCTCTCACATTCCTACCAACAAGCACTGAATACGCAGTAACCAAGGCCTCTATCCTTCTACCAGGTACCTCGGAAAGAGGGCTGCCTCCTTCTGTCTGGTACCCTCGTGATGTCAGCAAGGCCTCGGTGGTACGAGAACCCATTTATGAGCAGGTGCTCATCCAGAGCAGCTCCAAGTGGCACCCAGAAAAACAACTCTGGGCCTCTCTGCTGGGCCGAGGGAGGGAAGGCAAAGTCCTCAATTCCCAGAACTTTATCTTCGTGCTATCATCACAACCGACCATGCCTGCCTCTCAATGAAAACTTACACTTTGGAGCTGCAATTCCACCTTTTGTTACTGCAGCAATTTCATCTGTGTAACTGGCTCTTTTCCATGACCAGCTTTATTAAAATATGCATTAGGTCCTAACCGGTTTGGCTCAGCGGATAGAGCATCAGCCTGCGGACTGAAGGGTCCCAGGTTCGATTCTGATCAAGGACATGTACCCTGGTTGTGGGCACATCCCCAGTAGGGGGCGTGCAGGAGGCAGCCAATTGATGTTTCTCTCTCTCTATCCCTCTCCCTTCCTCTCTGTAAATAATCAATAAAATATATTTTTTAAAAAATATGTATTAGATTGGGTAATAGTT